GGAAGCACGAGGAGAAGGAGGATGAGCATGGGTACGTGGCGCGACACTTTGTGCGGAGGTACTTGCTGCCCAAGGGGGTCAAGCCCGAGTCCATCACGTCCACCATTTCCTGCGACGGGGTTCTCACCATTGCTGCGCCGAAGGAGGTACTGTACTGTCCTGTACTCTACTTTACTGGATATGTAGTGTATGAGCCAAATCCCGACAATATTCGAATACCTCCTTGAGTGGAATATGTCACCATATCCATTTTTTAAATATTGAAGCCCCTGCCTGAATTCCCTGCTGATGAGTACTGTATATAGAGACCTCCTAACTCATCAAAGGCTTTCCCCCTCATACTATACAGGTGAACCTTATTGATAACTCAAACCTCCCGAAGTCAAATATTCCCTCAGTTCAAATTTTTTTCAGGTCCTTATAGAAACAATGCATTGAACACCTCCCTAAGTCAAAGGCTTCTTGCCTCAAACCTCCATTAGTTGAATTTTCTGTGGCCTGATTGACATTATTTTTTGACACATAACCCCCCAAAATTAAAATATTCCTGAGTCAATTGTTTGATGTTTGATTGAAAAGGTTAGACTGTATTTTAATATGGGGAAAGACCCTGGGTACCTTGCAACATAAAATATCTCCTGGAGTTCATAAGCTTGCCAGGATATTACTTACATTAATGCAGTATTTTCAGCTCACAAGTTAATGTCAAAATATTGGAAAATTGTGTACTAAAAATTTGGGAAAATTGTATGCTAAAAATTTGGGAAAATTTTATGCTAAAAATTTGGGAAAATTGTATGCTAAAAATTTGGGAAAATTTTATGCTGAAAATTTGGGAAAATTGTATGCTGAAAATTTGGGAAAATTGTATGCTAAAAATTTGGGAAAATTGTATGCTAAAAATTTCAGAAATTTTTGTGCTAAAATTCAAAATGTTTTGCTGAGTTGTCTGAGAATCAAACCTTGGAAACGGAATTGTTCCATTTGATGTAATTTGCATGAATGGTTCAATAAGTTTTTTATATATTCTGTATGATGTGTTTCTCAGTTCGATCAGCTGCCTATGCCTATATTCCTATGAAGGAAAGGAAAAAAACTCATCAATAACCTGCTGACAGGACAATTAAGAAATCCAGCATGGATAGTTTTTTTTTCACTGTCAACCCCTGTTGTGATGCAAATTTTAGACGACTGGGTCTTGCGAGGTGCGTCAGATCCAGGTGAAGCCCGTCAACAAGCCAGTGCTGTGCTCTACCTGCCCCACGGGGGTTTGCGGGTTGCAGCAGAAGAGCATTCACGAGGCCCCCAGGGCATCCATGTCTCACACCCCACCCACTGCTGCGTCACCCAGGATCAGCACGGGCCCGGCAACCCAGCAGTCTACCTGTCTGTCGGTCTGCGCCACTGCTGGCCCGGGCCAGCAAGCCCAGCTCCATATTGCACCTGTCAACAATAATACCGCTACTGCAGCGACACCTGGCAACAAGCGCCCAAGCTGAAAAACACCCAGCGGATCTGTGATGGTTGAAGAACGATTTTGGGATTCTCATCTGAGGCGATGAGCAAATTAAAATGATTCTAGTTTACAATTGTTTCACTTTTTTGAATTTTTAATTTCATTATATTAATTAAATGAATTGCTGTAAAATCTTGTTACGACAAATACCATGGCAACAATCATAAAACTCATGTTAAAAAGGGTTTGTATGCTTGAGAAACTATGTGCTGAATTTTTTAAATTGTGAGTTTTTTTTTGAACATCACCCTTTTAAATCTGCACAGGAATTGCTTAGAAAGATTTGAAGTCAACAAAAAGTGCTTCTGTTGACAAGTTATTCATAGTAAATGCTTGTTATTAACATATCAACTTCTTTTTGAAGATCACTTTTCAAGTGCTGAAAACATCTGAGAAGGTTACATAAGGAAGATGTTGAATGTATGCAGGCTTCAGTTCTAGAAAATCTTTCAATCAGTCAAGAATTCCAAAAATCTCATGACAAATTATTTGTTGTAACAAGCTTTTTCTGAAGTCCCTGCAAGTTTGTTGCAATAAGATTTTACTGCATTATTCAATTATTATTCCTCATTATTTTATTCAATTAATTCACATTTTTTTATTTTAATGTTTCAATTGTTCTATTTTTCTCATTTTCAAATTGCAGGGATTGTATATGTTGACCTTTTTATCCTTCTGTTGATAAGATGGGTGTATTCGAAATATCTCCGTTGAAGGAACGCATATTCAAAAACGAAGGCAATTTGTTTTCAAAACGAAACGCTTATTATCGTTTTTATCTGATTTGAAGCACCGGAAAAATGAAGCACCATAAAACTGAAGTAACCTGGGCCATTGCATCTTAACTTTTGGATATTCATTCATCTTATTTATTTTCTTCTCACTATAGATACGTCTTCATAAAAAAATATTATTCAGAAGAGATGCTTAACTTGCTCAAATATTTACTTTTTTCGTTGGAAAAATGTCGTTATACATGCGGAGTGTCGGCGTTGTGAGAGTTTTTTTTTTCCCTCCCGGAAATTTTGCGATTATCAGCATTTTTTAGTACCCGGATTTTGCAGAATTTAAGGATATATTGACTCAACACTGTTCAGTGACTTAAGCTCAGACGATCCTCCAAAAGTCAAGATGAATACATTTGGGGATGAATCAAGAGGCAGTTTTTCTAAAGTGAAAACGAAGTTTGTTCCAAGAATATTACGCATGTCTTTCCTTCAAGACCGATCCTTATTCAGTGAAATGTATGAAGGACGGCATTATTGCGTCTTTATCCTCAGCATGGAGGGAAGGATCGAGAGGATAAGGGAATTGATGAATTAATGTATTAAACGAAGGTTCATTCTAATTTCTCCATCAAGAGCCAGTCGATCCCGGTTAAACAGTTAATCCCGGGTTTAACTTACAGTATTTTTAAAATTTTTTTCTCCGAAATGGAATTCATTGTCAATGGCTCTATGCATAGTGTGTTTGCAGAACATGAGTACAGCACCGTATACGGCACAGTAGAGTACCGTAGAGTACACCGTTCGTGAGGCCGTCCATTGCGGACAATTGTTTGGAAGGGACGATTCACTGATCACTGGATGGCCAATGGTTGGCCTGGTGGTTGGCGCGCTGGACGTGAGAGGTTGAGAATGATCGGCGGCCTACGGGTGAATGAAGAGTAGTGTGAGGTCCCGTTATGTGTGATGGTTAAATGCAGCTGTGTAAAAATTCAATATGCTTTAACCATTTACGAAGGAAATTTCAGTACTAGTTGTATTGTGCGTATGCGTATGCTGTACATATTTACAACGAAGTGTGTAAAAATGGTACACGTGTAATGTATTCAGTAAGCTTATCATTGCCATCAAGGAAAGCCCCCGTCGAGTGTTTAGAAACAAATTACCGCGGGGGCGAATTAATCTACATATGAAAGTCCGATCGTCAGTCCCATTATGACTATATCAACGCGAAAGCTAATGTTTTGGAGCATTCTAATGTGTAGTTCGTATTTTAGCTTAGCGTGCTCGGGTCGTTAATGCTGCAAGTAAGAGGTGCAATTCTTCATTTTCAACTCATCACGGGCGAATATCGAGTGAAGCAGTGTTCTATATCTATTATCGTAAGCCTGCTCTCCTGGACATTTTTTGCCTATCCCTCTCCCTATCCAACGAATTATATGTCGGTGGCGGTGAATTCCGAAAGAATTGCAGTATTGGATTTACTGTATGGAGGTGACTCCAGCAAGGGGAATCACGTGTGGCTGTTATTCTTGAATTACGGAGAGCCGCGTAAAGTATATGTAAACGAGTATAAGAACGAAGAAGTTTTCATCTGTTAAACTTCTACAGAAATTATATACTGAACATAAATACTGTGTACAGCATAGTCTGACTAAATGTTATTCTAGGAGTGCCGAGAATGCAGTTACCTGCATTTAGTGTCGCCGTGTTGCGCCTAACAAAGAGTATCGAACGATATCTTTCAATGTATGCCAGTTCTGTATGTATGATATGGTCTGTTCTTCCTCTTACAATGTTCAGTCGACTCTTGAGTAATTTTGTCTGTGCTTGTGGGAGGACCCAAGTCAGTTAACTTTCGAAACATGTAAGAGCATGTTAAATTGAGTTCCCTTGAGCACATTTCCTGCCATGATAGTACTGTATGCAGTATATTGCGTTCCTTATTTTGTAGTTGGAAATGCACAAATACTTTTGGGAGCGCTTATCGATTCTCCGTACACTCGGGCGGAAATCGGAGACACGAAAGAATCAACACTTAATCCCATTACTAGAAGGTATATTCGTCAAACGGAGCTTTTCTCTGATGGAGTATTGGATTGATCGTCTTTCATGAGGCGTTCGTGGGTTGCTGTATTGAAGTTGCTTTTGAACCAGTTTTTGCCAATGAGAGGATGATGAACGGGTTTTTTCAGCCAACAACCGGTTTGGAGTTGCAGGGTCAAGATGAGGTTTTCTGTGATCGTCATTGCTGTTTGCGTGTCCCATTCTTCGAACGTGTTTGTTTAAGTGATGATACTTCACCTTCGGCGTCAGAATGCTGGTTGCATTCGTCTGTGGAAACGGAGTAAACTAAGTGTGAAGATTGATTTTTCCTTCTACGCACACTTGAGAGGAAGATTGTTCGTGAATCAAGTGCGATTTTTTGTAGACACGATTGAAATTTTCGTTTTTTCGGGGGCTTTACTAAAAGTTCGTTCTTCATTTTTGTGTATGAGCTGCTCTGACGAAGATTTCTCTCGGTGGTTTAGAGTTTCTAGAAGAATAACATCAGATCATTGTGAGAGAAGTGGAATATCTCGGCGCAACGTTTCCCTCATTTATTCTGAAGTAGCACAATGAGCGCTTTTCTCGTGAGGCTTAATTATGGTCTAAATGACCTCTCCTTCATGTATATCGGGAGCCAGTGCAGCTGTGGTGAATTCTTGCAGGAAAAGCAAGTGCCAGCTGTTTTTTATGCTCTGTTCGAATCACAGGGAATGGATGAACTCACTTCAGAGGAAATGGCTGCACTTGATGCAGGGGACTCGTATACGTTCAGCAGTTTGACTTCAAGCCGTACGAGGCGCATTCGCAGCATGCGTGGGTATTGTATTCTTCAGGCATCACGTCTTTTATTAAACAGTAATTGAATGATTTTTGAAACGCTCTTATGCCCGCGTAGACGTTCATCAAGTGAGAGACCAGAAGAAACTCGGGAAAAAATGTCGGGATGAAAGTTCCTTGACGAGCATATTTTCTGTAAGACCGATCAAGCCTGGAGACTTCCGGTTAGTGATGCACGGAAAGAAATTGCGAAGCTTCGACATGAGCTTACGCGTCAACAATGAATTGAAGAGCCTTGAGGGTGGAATCAATTTAGCATTGGGTCACGGCGACATCATTGAATGCTTTCATCGCCAAATTCGTGAGTTCGATAATCATCTTATTCCAATGATCGACAGTGCATCGAAATCTGATCAACATCACAACATGCCTGTTGCTCGTTTGAACTTTCAAGTTTCCTCTCTCGATTTTGAAGCCGCTTACAATCTTGGCAAGAGGATAAATATGTACAGTATTTACCGTGACAACGGCGAAGTACAAATGCTCCCTGTCAACTTGAAAATTAATTTCCACGAAATGGTTAGAATTATTGGGGTGTTCGGAAAATTTTAGTTTCAGTCGGTACTCATTTTCAGTCCATTTTGGTTTCTGAAAATACTGGACAATAAAATTCCGTTGCTACTTATCTCGTTATGATTTTTTCCTTGGTCCGAACAGTTTCTCTGTTTGGATGTGCGCCGGGTTATAAAATCTTGTTCCAACACACTCATTTAAGGCTTTATTCTCACTATACCGAATTTATGGTCGAAATGATCCCTGTATAGGCCATGAGGATTATTTCACAAATGGCAGAAGAAAGGATCTGGTGCAGCATTCCAATTTCAAAAAGAAGCAAACTTCCTGTAGAGGTATTTCAGTATTAAATTACTCAACATGGAATATTTCCTGGAAATTCTTTATCTTTGTTTCAGAATGCATGTCTTTCTTTCAAATAAATTATATGTTGGAAAGAATTTCCTCTATACTTGAAAGAACAAGCATGTATGGATGAACACATTTTTACAAAAGTGAGAATGGTATTTCTCCCCCATGTACTTGTGTTCCATTTTATTTTTCAAAACAAATGACGCTTCAGTAAAAGACTGTACGAGTTATACAGCACTCAAAAAATTTCCTCTTATCAGGAAGACATGACTTATATGAGGCTTGAATACTCTGTATTAGAAGCACTACAGTCCAGTATTTATTACCCATTTCCCACAACATTTCAGGTTGAAATAAGTTGAAAGCCATGAATATCTGTGTATAGCTGAACATTTTCATCATTTCCCTGGAAGTTCCTTTTAACAAGATAGCTTTGATTTCAGCATGCTTACAGGTCATGTTTTTGCAACCTAATGGACGTTGTGTACAAGAGGATAAGACTCCGTCTCTGCTTTCCCTTCCTCGGCTGATGAAGACGATGATCTTGAAATGTTTGAATCCTGTGGAAGCTATCAGAAACCTCGCCCCTGTGTGTCGATCATTCTTCGAACTTGTGAGGAAAGAAGACATTTGGACTGACCTGGAGCTTCCCAGGCATGTGTTTTCTTCTGCCCCTCTTGAACGACTGGATGACTTCTTCAATTTTTTTGCGGGGTGAGCTGCTTTTTGAGAAAGTTCAAGTGACTAAAGTGTTAAAAATTAAAAGAGGTGGTACCTTGCAATTTGACCCTAGTATGTTGCCAAACTAGGTTCAAATTGCAAATTGGTTGAACTGTGAGACACTCCCTTAAATTAAAAATATAAGTTAAAAAAAATGAAAAAAAGTTTAAAAAGCTGGTCATATTGCGGGGCAAGGGTCAAATTGCAAGTCATCCTCCCTGCAAATTTGACCAATCAAATTGCAGGAGGTCACATTGTGAGGTACCTCCTGTGATGTAATACAAAATATGAGAACTCTCTAACAAAATTCAAGGGACAAGAAAAAGCATTTGTTGTAGAGAGGATTTGGTAGTACTGTACTGTATATGAAACCCCTGTAAAATGTGTATGTGTGTACCCTATGGGGAAAAAATCATTTTACAGAGAAAATCTTTGTAGACAAGATTGTTGGGAGAGTCCACCTGTATACCTGAATGAAAAGTTTTTAAAAATCCCCATTGAAAATTTTGCACCATCTATTGAGTTGCTAAAATTGATTCAATCTTTCAGGCTGTATTCCTTACAGTTCGTTTCAAAAGTTTTATGATTGTATCAATTTTGAAGTAGATTTTAAAAAGTTCAAACTTTTGAAAATTAGAAAATATATTTTGAGTGACATGCATTGCTTTAATCAATATGAAACTTGCCTCTGCATTTATTGGTCTTCCATGATTTCTGTTAATATACTTGGATTTGAGTTTTAACAGAATTGAGTTCCTGAATAAATGCGAGAAACATGAAACTCAAATTTTTGGGTATCTCAATTGACTGTGTCCATAAAATTTCAAAGTTGGATATCAATATTTGAGAATATGTATTCACCTTTTCTATGAAATTCAATATTGTACTTCAATATCGGGAAGAAAAAAAATGGGTTACCCCTACGCATACAAATGTACACCTGAGTTTTGGAAAATCTATTGGGGTGTCCCACGCATCCACACTTTTTTTGTGAATATAACGTTTAATTAATGAAAGTTTTGCATTTCAGAAATGCCCAAAGGCTTGCAATGGACTTCGATCGAGATAGGAACACTCAACAATCTTATATTATGCGTCCATTTATCAAATCCGCTGACTGCTGGAGGAACTTGAGGGCACTCGAGATTTATTCGTGGGATTTTGAGAAGCACTCTTTGATCGAATGCCTCAAAAACGAAGCGTTGTCCAAGTTGGAATCCCTGACAATTCCTTATTGTGGTGATAAAAACTTCCTTCGTCTAGCTAAAAATGAAAACCTCGTCCTTTCCTACTGTGAACAAGTCACCCTTTCGTCATCTTACGTGGACCAAGACTATTCAGTGGACATCAAGTGCATTTTTCCTAGGCTGGTATTTCCTATCTTTTATTACTGTAGTATTTTTAATAACCAACACTCCTTTTATTTTATTTTTTTCAGGTTGAAGCGATTGCATTTATCGTATATTTTCGACTGGAATAAGCCCAGGGATCGCGCATTGGCGCTTCCAGGTGTTGATTCGAATGCCCCCACGGAATTTATTCACTTTCTTGGCTCTGGGGTGCTTCGAAGTTTTCATGCTCAACAGTTTCCTGTTGAAATCGACGAGGAAGCTTGGATCCTGGCTAACAAGTTGGGAACGTTTTCCAGCTTGGAATCCCTCAGCTTGTGCGAAGAAATGTTTGAAGAGATGCCAGTTTCCTATGAGCCAGTCCCAGTCGTCCTTTTCCCAGAGGTAGAGTTTTTTTTTTTTAAACGTGAAACAATATATCCCCTGAGTATTCATGTATTTTTTTAGCCCTAAAAACTTTGTATTTCTTGGTAGATTTTTTTTCTTTTGTGATTTTCTTGAGCACTTTTCCTGATACAGTTGAACATCGCCAAGTCAAATTTCTAGGCATCTAGGGATCAGAAAAAAAGTGAGGGAGGCTTTGATTTAGGGGGTGGGTTTGATTTTTAGAGGTTTCCAGTTACGGAAACAAGCATTTTTGTTGGGAGGAGAAGTAAAATAAATTGCAAATTGTAGGATATCATAAATGAGTATATCCTGGGCCAAAACTTGCTTCTTACTGAGGTTACACCTTCCTGAACTTGGAGGCAGGGGTTCATTTGCTCTTATGGTCTTTCACTCCCTTGCAAGATGCATCAAATCATCTGTTTTACTTATTTTCTCTTTCATATTTCAAGGAAATGATGACCAAAAGGTCTTAAAAAATTTGACTTACAGAGGTTTTAGAAAAAAGATTTTTAGTTGGGGAGGTTTTTAATGCATTGATTCTGAGGGTATTCAGACAGGGATTTAAAAAAATTGACATGAGGATGTATTTGACTTACAGACATCCAACTTATCCAGGTTCAACTGTATCAGGTTGAACTTGTAAGAAAGCAGACAATTTCAAAAGTACGTTTTGTCGCGCGTTCTTCATAAAATGTTTTTCTTGGTTTTTTTTCCGGGGAAAAAATGTTAACCAACCCAAAAGAGTGGAGTAGCCTTTGTTCCTTTTACGGAATACCAGTGAATATCTCTGTTAAGTTTGATCGAAATTTCATACTTTCCCCTGACCTTCGATGCTTTGTGCATTAGGTGATCTATAATGACAACCTTTTCAATTCTTTTTTCATTGCTGAATTGCTCCGCAGTTGAAGTCTATATGGTTGCAAAAGACGGTACCCGGGAGAACGGTTCGGCGTTTAATGAAAATGCCATTACTGGAAAGATTCTGCGTTATGTCTTCTGTACCAAGGAACGGATATCCTGAACGGAAGGTGAGGCGAGCCCCCTTTGAAGACTACCCCACGGGATGGCTAGAAAATCTGAAGTTCGTTTCTGATTACGATCTCTTGGAGGCAGTCATTCCTTATTCGAAAATGATAAACCTCGAATGCGTGGCTTTAATTTCTCTGAGTTGTAATGAGGGTATTACTGCTTGTGATGCCCATGATGGATCCTCTGCTACGTGTGTCCTCGAAGAACTTCGTTGGTGTTCCAAGCTCAAAGGACTTGTTCTTCGGGTACCAGATCATGGTATTCCAAATGATGCCTTCAAAAGAATGCCTCAGGAATGGGAATTCGCCGCATTTTCAGGCCTGGCTCGCGGTGTGGTATCCACCCTGAAAAGTTTCGCTCGGAATCAAAATTCGCTGGATGATTTGTGGATTCACGTTTCCTCCTCAAAGGTGAGAATATTCACTCATCTGGAAACGTATATGCTATTTTATTTTGTTTACTTTTGTTGAAAAGTTGAATCTATACTGGCTCGAAATTTCAGCAGAAGTAGAAATAGCATTCGAGCAGGTAATTTTCTTTAAAATGAGGGATCTCCTGGAATCAATGAGAGGTTTTGAACTTGCGTAAACTAACTCCATGGGCATTGCTGAACAATTCACAATTCTACTGAGGGAGTTTTATTATGTATCAGGGAAACAAGCATTTTTGTCCTTGAAAACTGAAGAAACATATTCCCTCTAAATTTTTCTTGAGAGAATTCAGAAGGGGATTAAAAATTTATAATCCCAGATGGAGCAGTGTTCCCCAACCTTTTTGGGCCTGCGGACCGCCAAATTTCCATGAAGTTTTTTTGTGGACCATGTACAATTTCTGCGGTCTCAGAGAATTTTTGCTTGTAAGAATTTCTGGCAGGCATGTGAAAAAAAAGAGCAAAGGAAGCAGCAATACAGTGGAATTTCTTTTAAATATTGAAAGCATTGGCATGAAGAAAGGTTTTTCAGAATTCAAAAATTGAAATGATTTATTTCAGCAGGTCTAAATTGGTCTGAAATGTTACATTTGAACCTTGAAAACTCAAACCTCCCCAAGTTGAATTTTTCCAAGTTCCTGTTGAATTTCCCTAGGAACAATGTACAGTATTAAAAACCTCCTCAACTCAGACCTTTTTTTCTCTCAAAACTCCCTAACTCAAAGTTTTGGATGCCTTTTGGCTATTTTTTTAACAAAGGAAAGAAAGAAGCTATAAACACATAATTGAATGTGTTTTGAAAGGGAAGGAAAGACTAAATTGGGCAAATTTAGTCCTGCCTCAAAGTTCAGCATCCTGTAATTAATTTCAGATGCATTTAATGCCCAGAATATCATCATTTACAATTTTATGTAATCCCTCTATATTTTTACTATGACAAAAATGCTTGGTTCTGTTACTCAAACCTCCATTATTCAAAACCTCCGTAAGTCATAAATGTTTTGTGGTCCCATGGAATTTTACTTTGTGTTCAACTGTATTGAATTTTCCTCAGATAATTTCAATTGCATTGTCTCTCCAACATTTCAGATGAAGATAACAGGTTTTGTTTATTGCCTTTTTTATTAAAATCCTGCGGACCTGAAAAAAACTTCTGCAGACCGGCACTGGTCCATCAATCACTGGTTGGGAACACTGATTGAGTAATCAAGGTTCAGGTGTAGTAGAAAATGTGCATTTTTTTAAGCATAGGATCAGATAAATCAATCGCTTTATCTTGTACAGTTGAACCTCTGTAAGTTGAATTTCTAGGGACCTGGGAAAAAAAATTGGACGTGACTTTGATTTTTGGAGGTTTCAATTCAAGGAAACAAACACGTTTGTTATGAGGAGAGGTGAAAAAAAGTGTGGGAAATGGTAAATGAGGATATTCCGGCCTAATCTTGCTCCTAAATGAGTTTACACCTTGCTGAGCTTGGAGGCAGGGGTTCATTTGCTCTATTGGTCTTTCACTTCATTTCAAGATGCATCAAATCATTTGTTTTAATGATTTTCTCTTTCATATTTTAAGGAAATAATAACCAAAAGGCCTCAGAAAACTTGACTTACAGAGGTTTTAGAGAAGAAGACTTCAAGTCAGGGAGGTTTTCAATGCATTGATTCTAAGGGTATTCAGACAGGGACTGGAAAAAAAATTGACATGGGGAGGTTTGACTTATCCAGGTTCACCTGTATGTCTATATCTGTCTCTCTTTTCCCCAACTTTTGCTGTTTTGGGACAGGACTTGAAGGAAATTCTCCGAGCATTGGCGAGTTTCAAGCTACTCAAAAATGTAGTGCTTGTGCTCAAGCAAAGGGATCGCGTCAGCTGCAAACAATCAATGTCCGCGTGTATGAGAGCAATGAAGATGTGTTGGGGTATGCCGTCTGATGATATTGACGGATCATCGTCATCACGGAAGACCGTCTCTGATGCTGGTGGAGATTTCTTTGTGAAGCAAGTCACTTTGCTTATTGTGCGTTCCTATGGTAATGGTTATAAATACCATACCTACAATTTTGAGCGGGGGAGATTTACCACGTTTTTGTCTTCGCGCATCACGAACTTCTTCTCTGACTGGTTCAAGAACGTTCCGTGCTGCAGAGGAACTGACGAGTCTTCGGTATTCTCTTTTGTTCCTGCCCTTTTCCCGTTCTAGACTTCGTTGATATAATTCGGTTGCTCTTTTGTTTTAACATCGATTTGTGTTTCTTTAACGTCGTGTTGAATTATTTCTTTGGTTGGAAAGTTTCGTGCTGATTTTTGCGTCTTGAGTGACTTATTTTTCCGTGTGTTGCGGAAGTACGATACTGTACCGTGAAAGAAATGCTTAATCGAAGCGCTGAGAAATCAATGTATTTAATCATTTATATTTGACGTTTTGGTGCGAGACTTGAAACAACTTGTCTTGCGGTTTCGCACTTGTCTTGCGGTTTCGCAGACAAGATCATTTACTCCATTGATCGCGCATTTCCGGTTTCATACAATTTTTCAGAGTTGGTTGTGTGTTGATATTCGAAACAATATCATGAGGAATCGCCGAGGACTTGAAAGTTGAACATCGGTTGGAGAAATGTGAGCAGTGTTTGGTGATGAAACTCATATGTGTGAGATGGTTTGCGGTGTAAAGTTCTCAGTAAACTGCCTCAGAGGCGATCGTAATTTTCAAATTATTAACTTCTTAACTAATAATAATAATAAACTAACTATAATTATTAACTTATCATTTTGGACCTTGGCGAAAGCTCCTGGATTGAATGATTAAAGATTTCTTCCAAGGTTTTAATTTTTCTCAGTTTGACCCCAAAAAGTTGAAGCTTCGAGTCACGTGCTCCCACGAGGATGATCGCAGCGTAGTTATTGAAATTTTTAATCTTTCATTGCTCCGAATCTTGAATCGGCGAAGCATGAAATCGAAATTTTTCTTTCGAATTGCCTTACTTCCTTAGTTCTGCGTGTTATTACGAATGGCAAGGTACGACGTCAGATAATGTGCGGAATTAGCACTGAATACTGTACTTGCAGAGAACAGATCCTTTTCGTAGCCTTATCTATAGTCGAGTGATAAAAACGTTCATATGAGCAAGAAAACTGAATGAAGTACTGTACTGTGTATCATGTTTTTGAAGGTTGATATAGTATACTGTATTAAGAATGCTTCTTTACCCTGGATTTCAAACGAAATTTAAATGAAGCTTGTTCGAATTCCGTTCACAATTCGGCAGTTCATGAGCTCGCTTCCTCTAGGACGGCCACGTCATCAGCAGTCGAAAGATGTACGCTCTATTTTTATAGTATTATTTCTTCTCAAGCAGATGTCGCTGCTGTTTTGCGGAAAGAGTCCATTTTTCCCGGCTTTTACGCCAAGCAACAGAGTGACATCTGTGAGGGAACATAAGTAGTTAGCTTGCAACTTCGCAACAGCTGTTGTGAGAGGTCTCTAACACTCCTTCGTAAACAGTGACGAATTAGTTCCCTCAGAATTTAAATTAGCACTGCACGCTAAATTATCAAACGAATATGGTGAATGATTCTCAATTAAATTTAATTAGACGTCTTTTAAGAAACACGAGATGTAGTAGCAACGTGTCCGCAATCCTTGCGTGGTTCCGTCTCCCACTCCTTCATCCAAGGTACTGAATTGCATACAGTAATTTATTTTTGCATTGTATTACAAATCGTGGCAGGCTTTTAACGGAATGCTTTTGAATTTTCTGGTGATCCTGCCTTACTTCAATATGCTCATAAATAATTTACCCTCGTTTAAAATTGGGCGGTAAATGGAAAGTATTTGCTTGATAGAACTCCTGTTCCACAATATGCTTTATAACTGTATATGCAGTACAGTACTGACAAATAGAATTTTGATTTTCATCTCCATCATCGCTGAAAACGCATTCCAAGATGGAGGTCTTCCAAGATAATTCCGCCATTTTCATCAACAGCCGCCTTCAATTATATGCCATTTGAATTTCTATTCCGAGAACTTTTGTTAGAATCCTCGTACATAGGTCTAAGTTTGGCGGAGCGAATCAATAAGGAAGATCATATTTTCCACGCAATTCTCTTCATTCTATTCCGTTCATTCTTGTTATTCTACAGTTGTACAATATTCACTTCTGACGCCCTTTTTTCCTCCTTCCAAGCGTGAAACTCTCATTCTGTCTGTGGAAATAAACTGTTCTCGAAATCCCCTGGTGAATGTTTCTCTCTTGACACTATACCTGCGATTTGACGAAAGAAGGCGACACAGCTGAGGGCTTATTCCTCTGCTTCTGTTTCTATTAATGTGTGTTTATACCCGGATTTTCTTTAGTGGGAACGTACGTCGTTATAGTCAGCCATTTACCTGGCGTCACTATACTAGACCGAGGGGAAAACAGGATCGTGCACCCATTTATACGGAAGAAGGAGGAGACGAATGGGAGTTTCAGTGACTGAGAAAAAGGAAAATCCGAGGTTCAGGGTGACTCATCCCTTTTCAGTGCTGGGTTGTCACGAGGTTTGACTCGTTTGAGTAATAGTAAAGACACCCCTCGTAGCTTTGGGGCGAGGTATTCCTCGAGGATCTGCAGTAAACGAGTTGGAAATCCTCGAGAAGGACGTGCAGATTGATACAAGTGCATTTTTCATTCTTCGAATTTCGTTTTATTTCTGTCGTTTTCCCTGAATTTGATGTATGATTATGACAGCCATTAGAATAGAAAACGTGATGATGATAACGTAATAAATGATGATACTGTACCATGATGATTATGTGACATGAATGATCGCATTTTTTGCAAAAAAAATGGGACAGTCATGAAACTTTGAAAAAGTTTAAGTGATGCGTCAAACTTCGCGATTTCGACGCATATACCAGGTGTTACACGGTTCCGCGCATATCAGCTTTTTGCTGCTTTTCTGCTGGGGAATGCCTCAAAATTCAACAATTGAACATTTCAAGGCCTTACATCAACACATGGGTAAAAAGTACTAAGTGTGTACAAATTGGTAGGAATCACACTAAGAAGGTGTCTGCCTAGCCTTTTTGGAATTACTGAAAATGAGAAAAACGTTTTAGAAAAAAATACTTATTGGTGTTCCATAATTTTAAGTCCGCGCGGAAACGTGTAACCCCTCCTATGTTGGTGGGTGATGGAAAATCTTTGGATTGAGACTGCAGAAAATGGGGGATTTGAGATTGTTTGACTGAGAGTGTCTAAACGGTGCCTGTCTGATTAAAAAGGAAATTTTTCATGCTTGATTAAAAAGGACAATTTTCATGTTTAATTCAAAAGGAAACTTTTCATGTACAGTGAGATCCCAATAATCCAGACAATTTGACTTGGGAGACATATTTGAAAACCAAAGAAATCAGGCCCAACATCTGGACATTAGCTCAAGTTAGGAGCACTTCTCTGAAATTTTCCCCAAAAATCAAACAATTTTCTTTTTCAATTGTGATATCTTTCAAAACAATTAAATGATTTATATTCATGAAAATTGAAATGAATATTTCAAATAAATTCACTCTTTTTTGTGTACGAAAGCAAGCCAATTTTGTGCTTGTTTTTTTCAGAGCATATTTTCCCATTATCTGTGCATATTCTAGCAAGGCCTGTCATTTTTCTTTGCTTTTTGATCTCCTTTTAAAACTGACAAAGATCAGATTCTATGTGGTTGTTCTGCATTGTAGTTTTCTACAAGTTGAAGTTGAGGGAAACCATTTTATCAATTTTTTAAAGACTTCCCAGCAAACAATCAGGCATATTCCAGACAGACATGATATAACCTGTATTACACCTGCATTCCATGGCTGGGTGGTTCTTTTTAATATGGATGACTTTTTGCAGCTAGACTTGTATGAAGTACATGTTACAACATCCATGTCATACCCATAATGAATGGCTGTGCAGATATTATTTCCAACTTTTGACAAAAAGGAGAACCAATTAAATACACTAGCATTGATGTCTAATGAAAATGAGTCTCAACTTAGGGACTTAGACTTGGGGACACTCTTGATGCACCAATTATGCCTGCATGTTTGGGTCTCACTGTATTGAATAATCTGGAAGATTCCATTTGAATATGTATTAGCAAATTTTTGGATTTTGGAGACAAATTGTGTGAAGTATTGAAATTATACATACTGTTGAATACAATTTGTTCCCCTGTTTATTGAAGGTACATCATGAGTGCTTACATCCTGAAGATAAACTATGGCCTTCAAGACCTGGCCTACCTTGAGTTGAAGAGGAACCATTTGTCCATCAGTGATTCAGGAATATGTCAAAATTTGACAGAAGGAAGCACAACTGCAGTGTTTTACCTTGAATCGAAAAATGTCATGAAAACTCCAGACATTCCTCACATTCCTCTGCGTGAGTATTCAATGCCTTCCATGCGATTTTTGTATTCACACAAAAATATCAGCACCCATCTACAGATCTTCCTTACCAGGGGTTACACGGTTCCGCGCGGATCATTTTTTTTTTATTCTGTTCTGGGGGAGCTCCAAAATTTAGCAACTAAACATTTCAAGGCCTGTTGCAATGCATGAATCAAAAAGTACTGAGAAGTGTGTACAAATTGGTGGCAATTAAGTTGAGAAGGTGTCTGCCTAGCCTTTTGGAATTACTGAACATGAGAAAAATGTTTCTTAAAAATCCTTGGTGTTGAGATCATTTCAAAGTCCGCGCGGAAAAGTGTAACCCCTGGTACATAGAATTGGAATTCCATTATTCAGAAAGAAAAAAATGAGCACCCATCAACTTACCTTCCTTGGGTTGTAACTTTTATCTAGAAATGAAAATTTCTTACCAAATTCTGGTCCTGGTTACAGTAAAATTGTGTTTAACACAATAAGACCTCGCTTGTCTTTTTCTCTCAATGACTCATTCATTGTATTCAAATGATAAAAGCCCTGACAAATTCCTTGATTATTATTTTTACTGCTGCATGTCCAAAAGAGCTGAAGAAAAGAAGTGCTGGATTTTTATGCTGTGGGCCATGAACATGAAAATTTCCTAATACAGTATAGATGCATATTTATGCAATTTCCTAAATCATGGGAAAATGATTAACACCCTTAAATATTTTGAGCTTCTAAAAGATTAGGAAAAGTGAGTGCTTATATTTGCCTCAATATGGCACAGGTGGTGCCTTGCAATTCAACCATCCTGCAATTTGATGGTCAAATATGCTGGGAGGTCAACTCTGAATTCAACCTCTGTCATGCAATTCAACCTGTGTTGAGACATGAAGTGTCAAATGCCATGTAGAAAACATGCCATTTGCAATTTGACTGCTTCTGAATGCAACTCTAGTCCAGCAATGGATTGGGGTTGAATTGCAAGGTAACCAACCTGTATATTGCTGGTGTCATTCACTCGAGTAATTTTTATGGTATTGTCAGCAGATGTCCACAAACTGGTGAATGGAGCCAAAATGGGAGAACCTTGTCCAGCTCAAGAGCATCTGCAGAAATGTTTCTCTATCCAAGAAAATCCGAGTGGGGATTTTCTCCTGAGAAAGCATAGAGCATGGGTTTCCTCATTCCGACTGAAGGCACTCATTAACGGGAAAAATGTGCTTTACTGCAGTGGATCCATTGTCAAACTATTCCACGGAGACATGATTGAGTTCTTCGATCGTCAGATTCGTAAGTCTTTGACATGACCCTAGAATTAAAAAAAAAAAAAATAAATAAACTGGCGATTAATTACAGCGAGACCCCCAGATGCGGACATAATTGGTGCATAAAGAATTTCCCTATGTCGGATTGTCCCCAAGTCAAATCTTTTTTTCCCATAGACTTACATTGTATACTTTTTAATTGGTGTTTTATGGAAGAAATATTCTTCAGAATTTCATGAAAGAAATTTTTGCCACTCGAATTTGATTCAATGAATATATTTTCAAACCAATAAGAACATTTGGAACATTGAATAGCGTACCTCTGTACTGTAAATTGAAAAGTTGGCATCTGGAAAAATAACATGTCACAAAGAGAGCTAGAAGGAAGTCCCTCTGTGCTATTTTTAAAATTAGCTGAATGGATGAAAAAATGATGGGAAAGTACCAAAGAATTTTTCTTGCATAGATCTTAGGTTGGAAACATCTGTTTCTTGCAATTAAGCCTTGTAAAAATTGATTTTCCTAAAATTTATTTTGGAATTTTATCCTGCAATGTCCCCAGGTTGAGTCAGTGTCCTCATGTTGGGTAATTTTATGATTTTTTTGTTGAAAAATAAATGTCCCCATGTTGAATTGTCCCCTTGTTGAGAAGCCTGTATGTGGGGGTCTCACTGTATTTTACTGTATCAGTGAGACCCCCCAAATGCAGACATGATTGGTGAATCAAGAGTGTCCCTAAGTCAAGTCTCATTTTTGCATATAGACTTAGGTCTTTTGTAAATCTTTTTAATATCACTAAAAAAAGAAATGTTTTCTTCATATATGTATTTTAGCATGCTTCAGGGTCATGTTCCTGCTGGCGGTTGGATGTCCTGTGCGAGAGCCCCAAGTTTCGCCCTTGCTTGCATTCCCTTGGATTATCATCAGAAACATCTTGAAGTTTCTGAAACCATTCGAAATGATGAAGCATGTAGTTCTAGTTTGTCAGCAATTTTTCGACCTGTTCAGAGCTGGCGGCATTTGGACTCATCTGAATTTGAATGCAGTTGTTGGAATCACCGAAGTTCCCTTTGGTCACCTGGATGACTTTTCAAGACTTTTTTCTGTGTGAGTATATAACTTATTCTTTCTTTCAATTTTTTGCGCAATTTTGAAAAAGTTAATTATTTATCCAGCAGGTAAATACAGTACATGCATCTGAATCATGATTTTTCTTCAGATTCAACAGTTCAGTTATTATGCGCCAAACTGGGCAGAATAATGATTCTCAATTGATTAATTTTAATCCCCGTGTGATTGAAAGGTTGTTGCAAATTTTAGAATCTGCTGTGTATTTACTCAAATACCATGTGCACTTCTTTCTACACAAAAACAGTGGCAAAAAATGAGGTTGGCCTCATATAGTTGAGCATCCTTCCAACCCTAAGATCTATGTAAGAAAAGTTTGTTGGCATTTCTCTAATCCTTTTACCATCCATTTTTAGCTAATTTTAAAAAATTAACCTTACGTACAGAGGGAGTTTCTTTTCTATTTTTTGAATTTTTTTTTCACAGAGAATGTCAACATTTCAATGTACTGTAGAAAGGTGGACAGTGATCAATGCACCAAATGTCCATATTGCAATTGGAAGATATTGATTGAATCAGCTTCAATTGCCAGACAATTTTTTTTCATGGAATTCTGATGAATATTTCTTTCATAAAACACCAGTTAAAAATTATATAAACCAAGTCTAAGGGAAAACAAGACTCAGCTTAGGGACATTTTGACTTTGGCACACTCTTTTTGAACCAATTAAGTCCACATCTTGGGGCCTCACTGTAAATATTTTTAACCCTCAACCATGTGTCTCAACTTCAATATTTTCTGCAGTTTTCTTCTTGAATAATTATTATTTTTTCTTCATATACAAAACATCAGCATTAAAGTCAACTTTTATGTTGGCTTGTATTTAGATTTTTACCCCATTTTTATTAAATCCTTGAAAATGTCTAAGCAAAAAAAAAAATCTTTGAACCTTTTAAATGCTGAAAAGCAGAAAATGTCAATCATTCACTCAATTGTTTCTTTGAAGAATACTGTAACATTCATGGATCTCATTGAGATTTCTGGAGTAATAAGTGTCTTCCATTTAATGCTTGTCATTCCATTTCTAGAACAAAAATTTGAATCTCATTTTTAAATTCAACATTTCCTGATACACTTATGATGAATCCACAGACACGCTCAGAAGCAGCGTAACCTGTATTCCTGAGGCTCCATAGTGGTCTTAGGGTCACATGGTGTCAGGCAGTACTCAGGAAATAAACGTAGTAGGCTGACGACCTCCTTAAACTTCTGGGACCTTTAAGAAAGTAACCTTCGTAACGAGGAATCCTTGATACAATCCCTGAAAAGCAGAGAGTCCTGGGTCCATTTGGAAACGTTGGTGATCGGGTCTTCGTATTTTGGACACATGTTCGCGCTCGCGGCGCAAGATGGCGCCATTGTGATACCGAATTGTCAGGAATTGACGATGCTGTGTTCTTTGAATCATGCCTGTCTTGTTGCCATGAAGCAGGTTTTTCCTAGGTACCGTAATTACTTTTTTAATAAGATTAATTGTCATTATATTATATAATTCATGCATATACTGTACTGTATACAGTGAAACCCCCAGATGCAGACATACTGTAATTGGTGCATAAAGAGTGTCCCTAAGTCAAAATGTCCCAAGTTGAGTCTTGTTTCCACATAGACTTACATTATTTAATTTTTAATTTGTGTTTTATGGAAGAGATATTCTTTAGAATTCGAACTTTTTTTAACAAACGGTGAACTTAAACTAAGTCACTTCTAGAAAGGTTGAGTTATTCTTGTAAACCTCGTAACTTATCACATGGAGACAAATCATGTAACTCTACAACCGTAGACATCTTTATACATTCAAGTCACAAAGAGTCTATGCTGTGAGTCATTTTTTTATCAGCTGAATGGATGGGAAAATGATGGAAGAAATGCCAAGGAATTTTTCCTACGTAGATCTTGGGGTTGGAAATCTCTGTTTCTTGCAATTAAGCCTGATAAAAGTCAATTTTCCTGAAAGTTACTGGCAATTTTATCTTGCAATTTCCACGTGTCAAGTCATTGTCCAAATGTTGGGCCTTTTTTATGCCTTTTTTTATTTGAAAAATAAATGTCCTTTTGTTGAATTGTCTGCATGTTATGTAAAACGAAATATCCGAGTTCTCCTACGTAAACGAAGTTCCATCTCTTATGTTCCGTATAGGATCTGTTTCCTAAGGACTGGGTTGATAACGTCTCAAAAACCGTAAAGAACCGACACCACTTGAACAAAGTCTGCATGCTGAATGTTTACCAGCACTGATGGACAAGAAATCTTGGGATTTGGTTCAAAGAAAGCAGACTTTTCAGAACCTGGAGTCCCTGGCCTTGCTGGAGAACATTTTTGAGGACATGCCTGCATTTGAGGAAACGTCCTATGTTCTTTTCCCGAAGGTGATTTTTAATTAAAATCGGTTGAAATTGGACAAAATGAAGAAAAATCTCTTGTAAATCTCACGAACAATTCTTTGGATCATTTTATCAATCTTGTGTTTGTTTTTTTAGTGTCTCGTGCGGGGTGCATCGAAAGTTTTGTGCCGGTTATTTTTTTGGCACATTCAAAATTATAAGGAATCAAACATTTTTCTGGAAAATGTCTTGCATATATGCCTAGGATGCGGTGAATTTCAGTGCAGGGATTTTTACGTGCTGTAAATATACAGAAATATTTTTACAGGAGAGGCAAAAATATTGAATGGAAAGTTTTGTCTTGGAATAAGTTGATCGTGAACCTGTAAAATGTTGAGTATACTGTATATACAGTGAGACCCCAAGATGCAGACATAATTGGTTTATCAAAAGCATCCCAAAGTCAAAATGTCCATAAATTTAGTCTTGTTTTCCCTTGGACTTGAATTATATAATTTTAATTGGTGTTCTATGAAACAAATATTCATGAGAGTTCCATGGAAGAAAATGGAAAAAATTATCTGCCAATCAAAACTGATTCAATCAATATCTTTAAACTTGATAAGGACATTGGGAGCATTGATCAGTGTACCTCTGTATATAGTACAATAAAATGTTGGCATTCTCTGTACAAATGAAATTCAAGTCAAGAATAGAGAAGGCTGGAGTATAGGCATACATTTTTTAAATTAGCTAAATGTGTGGTAAAATGATCAGAGAAATGCCAAAGAACTTCTCCTACATAGATCTCAAGGTTGGAAATATATTTTTCTTGTAAATTAGCCTTCAAATTATTTGCAATATTAGCGCACAATGTTTGCATGTTGGGCCTTTTTTATGCATTTTTATAGGAAAATAAGTATTTTTATGTTGAATTGTTTTCATGTCAAGGTGTCTGCATGTGAGGGTCTTGCCAGAATTCATATTCACAATCCCTGAAGACCTGCAGAAAAAGCAAAGAAAATATCACATTTATGAAAGAAAAGATTCTTTTTTCAAAATGATCTATCCTAACTTCGTTACATGATTTTCAGATTTATTTCCAAGGATATTGCAAAATATATTGAATACAGTATTTTACTTCAGCAGTTTTTGTCCATGAAGAGAATTGAATAATTTTCAGATTTTTCTGAAATGTGTGTTTTATTTTTTGCTGTACAGTATTTGGCATATTGTTTTAAAAAAAGAAATTTTATTTTCATGTTTACATTGTTTCACAGTTGAAAACACTCTATTTGCAAGATGTATCACCATTGACTGTGCTTGGCCAGTTGCTGAAGATGCCTTGTTTGGAGATGCTGTGGATCAAGCATGATCATTTGCAATCATTTCTGCAACCTCCACCACTTCATGTCTTTGAGGAATGCCCCAAGGAATGGCTTGCAAATCTCAAATCTGTTGCTGCTGATTTGTGGGAGACCTGCATTCCTTATTCAAAAATGATCAATCTGGAAATTGTAGCCTTCTTTTTCTTGCATCATGTGCTGGCTACAAGACCTTTGGAGATTCTCATGGAGGAACTGAGTTACTGCTCAAAGTTGAAAGGATTGATCCTGCATGTGCCAAAATATATTCCTTGTGAAGCCTTCAGCCAACTTGCACAGAAATTGGAATTTGCTGCATTTTCTGGGGAACCCTGCAAGATGATCCCTGTGCTGAAAATGTTTGCTGAGAGTCAGAGTTTCATTGAGGAGTTGTGGATTCAAGTGCTTGATAAAAATGTGAGAAATACTTTGATTTGCCTATCTATCACATCATCTGTGCCATATATTTATTATTGCTCTATTTCTTATTCATTTACAGAGTGTGGAAGAAATTATCTGCGTCGTGAAAACGTTCAAGCGACTCAGAAACGTTGCTTTCGTTTTCAAAGAAGAATTTTTCTTTGGGAGCAGAATTGAAAGCTGTTGGGCTTGGCTTGAGGCATTACTCAAGAGATGCGTTTGTCCAGCATCTGGAGAATCATCCTTGAAACAAGTCACTGGGATTTGTCTGAAATTACGGCGTTATCAGTCTTTCACTTTCAACATTGAGCTGCAAAAAGAGACTGATTTTTCATCATCAGCCATCAAAAAATTCTTTGCCAATGGGTTGAAGTATATGCCGAACACGGAAGAGAGGGATACAATTTCAGATGAGGTTCACCTGGTTGATGCCATTTTTCCAGACCCTGTTCTGTACTTTTAGTGATTGAAAGTAATCATGTTAATGAGTTCAAATATGTCATCTTCTATACACAGGACATACAGTGGGTCCCTAAATAACAAATGACTCAAATATATGTAATCAAATGTTTGTCTAATTAAATTTTGCATTGAAAAACAAGTTTGTTCAACATGCTGAAAATTGCCAAGAAAAGCTTTATGAATTTTGCCAAGTTATTGTAAAGGAAGGCTAAGAATGAAATGCTGCAAAAACTAAATGGTGGTTTCCATTTTGAAAATTTGGGTACAAACAAGATGTTTCCCATCTGCTGTATATATATTTCTGAACTGTATTTTATCGGTGAAAATTCAAGCTTGTTGTATTCATAACTTTTTCAAATTTCCCTTTTTTGGGTAATTTTATTAACTGTTGATTTACCATAGAGCAAATTATGTTTTTCCAATTGAACCTTATACTGTACTATTTTTTATTTGAGTACCCATTTATTTTTGAAGATAAATTGAAACCAATACAAGAGGGATGTGCATGGTGCTCAAGTGGAAATTTTTCCTGAATTATTGCACTATTTTAGTGCAGAACCTCACATGGCAGAATATAAAAATGGAGGAAATTAAAATATAACTTATTCATTCCTATAGTTCATCCCTATAAATTAAAAATTTTAGCTGCTGATGTTTATAAAATTTGAGTATTTCTTCACTAAAAAATTATGGTTCTCTTTTCTAGTGATGCTTTTGCCCAAATTTACAGCTCAAAAATGAAGGTGCTTGTCTTATGCAAAAGTTCATTATACCTGACTAAGTATTGCTTATTGCGGTTTCATCGAAAAAATTCAGTACAGTACACTGTAATTATTTTCATCCAGGAATAGATAAATTTCGTTTTGTAGGGACCCACTGCACTTTACAGATGATGAGAAAATTACATTACGGGATTGGCATTGAAATATTTTTTCTGTTGACATTTACCTTGGTTTTTTGAATTTTTTTTAGACATATCAGACTTGTTTTTTTTAATGCAGGAATCAGTTATACTCGGTGAATCCATCTGCAATCCTTATTTTTTGTTTTGAAATTTTGGGTGATATACTGAATCGCTTGAATTCATGAACATACTGAATTATGTTGTTACATTCAGAGAATAAGAATTCCAAATGATTCTCAAGCTGTCCAATTTTTTCTGTTTGTTCATAGATGTCACTTCGAACATGTACAGTATTATACTACAGTAGCTTTAATGATATGAATTAATTAATTTTCATTTATAATAAAAATTGCTGCATATTTAACTTCTGTCCTAAATTTTAAAACTAAATTTGTTTCTAGATTCAATCAAAAACGTCCTCATTTCATTTTTAATTCTGAGACGAATCTGTTCAAATGTGTTCCACTTCCACCGCATTGAATATACGGCATTTCATTCATTTGGTGACCCTTTTTGTATTTACTATACTTCAAAATTTTTAAAAATTCCTTGTCCACTTAAATGTCTTCACTTCCGTAATTTTCTGATCTCAGTTCCACAAACGCTTCACCACAATGAAGTCGACATTTCTCCAAGGTTATATATACAGGTGGACTCTCTTTACAACGAAATTCAAAACCAGAGACCGACTAGAAAAAATCGTTTTAGAGGGAATTCCGGTGTAGAGAAGTTTATGGCATAAGGAGAGAACCCTATGGTACTAAAATATACTCATTATGCAGAGAAAATTGTTGTAGACAAGACTGTATATATAACAGCAAGTCTATATACATGTACAGTAGCTTCAAAGAAGTTGTCCGTTATCTCCCTTTATATCATCAGGGTCCAAATGAGCATCTTCGAATGACTCGAATCACACGCATTTCAAGTTCCGTGTAAAGCTTCATTAAAACTGGTTTGGCAACAAGACAACTTGAAACTATGGCTTATAATCCTTATATTGTCTAAACTCCAAGGGACAGTCGGAGGAACGACGTATGCCACATTTGGATTCATCATTCTCAGGTGAAGTTCGTGGATGAGAAAGTGCGTTGACCGAAGCCCAGCGAAGATATTCACTGCCCGATGTGAGTACACCGTTTTCGATGGCATTTCATACCGAATCAGCATCCAGGAGAAATTTCGCGCAAATGCGTCCCATCGAACGAAACTCTGCAATTTACAGTAAGTCGTGATGATCATTGAAAATTGTCAAATGCGGCGATCACCATGCGCAGTGTCGCTATATTCTGATGCACATCAGTGCAAGATATACGCTTTTTAGATGATTTTCAATTATGTACCAGTTGGATTTTTCCATCTTCTACGAAATGGTAAAAATTCCCAAGGTCATAGTATTCTTGAATGTTTCCATTTCTTCATCACAGGAAACTTTATTTCTAAACGTACTATAGAAACAATGGATCACATTGCTGCAACGAATTTTCTCAATGGTCCCTGTACTGGGAGATCGTCGTGTAGTAAAGCGTAATAATAAGACTGCACACACTTCGCAACCGTATTTTTCAGCATGTTTATAGAAGGATAATATATTTCAGAACCAGAATTTATTAGCTATACAGTACTGTATACGCAGTATCCATATATATTTGCTTTACATATTTCCATCCTCACAATAAAAAAATGCGGAAGAGAATCCTTTTTCATGCTTTTTATTGTGAGGTGCAAAACCACCGTTGATGTACATTAATAATGTTAAAACATCTTGGAATTCGGATTTTAAAAATGTGCAATGTGTACTTTTGCAATGGAAATTGAGTTGAAAACCCGTTTTTTATGTCTTTTCCAGCAGACTTCATATCTATTTAAGCTGTACTGCTCACTTCATGGATTGAAATTGCTCTCATCTGTTTCTCCAGCATTGATTTTCCAAAAAGGTCGAAGTTTGTATTTTAGCCTTCATGAATTGCAGTATTCATCCAAAAATCTTTGATAGAAGTTTTTGCTCTGAATAGAAACAATTGTTATCTTATTTTAACCTTTTCTACTAGGTACCCGATTTTGAATCATCTGCAGGTTGAATGTGCACTTGTGTTTTATGATTTTCAATACTTTTTATTAAAGTGGAAAGAATTNGATTTTTCATCATCAGCCATCAAAAAATTCTTTGCCAATGGGTTGAAGTATATGCCGAACACGGAAGAGAGGGATACAATTTCAGATGAGGTTCACCTGGTTGATGCCATTTTTCCAGACCCTGTTCTGTACTTTTAGTGATTGAAAGTAATCATGTTAATGAGTTCAAATATGTCATCTTCTATACACAGGACATACAGTGGGTCCCTAAATAACAAATGACTCAAATATATGTAATCAAATGTTTGTCTAATTAAATTTTGTATTGAAAAACAAGTTTGTTCAACATGCTGAAAATTGCCAAGAAAAGCTTTATGAATTTTGCCAAGTTATTGTAAAGGAAGGCTAAGAATGAAATGCTGCAAAAACTAAATGGTGGTTTTTATTTTGAAAATTTGGGTACAAACAAGATGTTTCCCATCTGCTGTATATATATTTCTGAACTGTATTTTATCGGTGAAAATTCAAGCTTGTTGTATTCATAACTTTTTCAAATTTCCCTTTTTTGGGTAATTTTATTAACTGTTGATTTACCATAGAGCAAATTATGTTTTTCCAATTGAACCTTATACTGTACTATTTTTTATTTGAGTACCCATTTATTTTTGAAGATAAATTGAAACCAATACAAGAGGGATGTGCATGGTGCTCAAGTGGAAATTTTTCCTGAATTATTGCACTATTTTAGTGCAGAACCTCACATGGCAGAATATAAAAATGGAGGAAATTAAAATATAACTTATTCATTCCTATAGTTCATCCCTATAAATTAAAAATTTTAGCTGCTGATGTTTATAAAATTTGAGCATTTCTTCACTAAAAAATTATGGTTCTCTTTTCTAGTGATGCTTTTGCCCAAATTTACAGCTCAAAAATGAAGATGCTTGTCTTATGCAAAAGTTCATTATACCTGACTAAGTATTGCTTATTGCGGTTTCATAAAAAAAATACAGTACAGTACACTGTAATTATTTTCATCCAGGAATAGATAAATTTCGTTTTGTAGGGCCCCACTGCACTTTACAGATGATGAGACAATTACATTAGGGGATTGGCATTGAAATATTTTTTCTGTTGACATTTACCTTGGTTTTTTGAATTTTTTTTAGACATATCAGACTTGTTTTTTTATGCAGGAATCAGTTATACTCGGTGAATCCATCTGCAATCCTTATTTTTTGTTTTGAAATTTTGGGTGATATACTGAATCACTTGAATTCATTAACATACTGAATTATGTTGTTACATTCAGAGAATAAGAATTCCAAATGATTCTCAAGCTGTCAAATTTTTTATGTTTGTTCATAGATGTCACTTCGAACATGTACAGTACAATATTATACTACAGTAGCTTTAATGATATGAATTAATGAAATTTCATTTATAAGAAAAATTGCTGCATATTTAACTTCTGTCCTAAATTTTGAAAGACTAAATTTGTTTCTAGATTCAATCAAAAACGTCCTCATTTCATTTTTAATTCTGAGATGAATCAGTTCAAATGTGTTCCACTTCCACCACATTGAATATACGGCATTTCATTCATTTGGTGACCCTTTTTGTATTCACTACTTCAACATTTTCAAAAATTCCTTGTCCACTTGAATGTCTTCACTTCTGTAATTTTCTGATCTCAGTTCCACAAACGCTTCCCCACAATGACGTCGACATTTCTCCAAGGTTATATATACAGGTGAACTCTCTTTACAACGAAATTCAAAACCAGGGACCGACTAGAAAGAATCGTTTTAGAGAGAATTTCGGTGTAGAGAAGTTTATGGCATAGGGAGAGAACCCTATGGTACTAAAATATACTCATTATGCAGAGAAAATTGTTGTAGACAAGACTGTATATATAACAGAGAGTCTATATACATGTAGCTTCAAATAAGTTGTCCATTATCTCCTTTTATATCATCCGGGTCCAGATGAGCATCTTCGAACGACTCGAATCACACGCATTTCAAGTTCCGTGTAAAGCTGCATTAAAACTGGTTTGGCAACAAGACAACTTGGAACTATGGCTTATAACGTCTGAACTCCAAGGGACAGTTGGAGGAACAACTTACGCCACATTTGGATTCATCCTTCTCAGGTGAAGTTCGTGGATGAGAAAGTGCGTTGACCGAAGTTGTGCGTGATCGAAGCCCAGCAGATATTCAGTGCCCGATGTGATGTGAGTACACCGTTTTCGATGGCATTTCTTACCGAATCCAGGAGAAATTTTGCGCGCAAATTCGTCCCATTAAACGGAACACTAATTTACAGTAAGTCGTGATGATCATTGAAAATTGTCAAATGCGGCGATCACCATGCGGAGTGTCGCTATATTTTGATGCACATCAGTGCGAGATTACGCATTTTAGATGATTTTCAATTATGTACAAGTTGGATTTTTCAATCTTCTACGAAATGGTGAAAATTCCCAAGGTCATATAGTATTCTTGAATGTTTCCATTTCTTCATCACAGGAAACTTTATTTCTAAACGTACTATAGAAACAATGGATCACATTGCTGCAACGAATTTTCTCAATGGTCCCTGTGCTGGGAGATCGTCGTGTATAGTAAAGCGTAATAATAAGACTGCACACACTTCGCAACCGTATTTTTCAGCATGTTTATAGAAGGATAATATATTTCAGAACCAGAATTTATTAGCTATACAGTACTGTATACGCTGTATCCATATATACAGTATTTGCATTACATTTTTCCATCCTCACGATGAAAAAACGGAAGAAAATCCTTTTCATGCTTTTTATTGTGAGGCGCAAAACCACCGTAGATGTACATCAATAATGTTAAAACATCTTAGAATTCGCATTTTAAAAATGTGCAATGTGTACTTTTGCAATGGAAATTGAGTTGAAAACCCGTTTTTGATGTCTTTTCCAGCAGAATTCATATATTTAAGCTGTACTGCTCACTTCATGGAATGAAATTGCTCTCATCTGTTTCTCCAGCATTGATTTTCCAAAAAGGTCGAAGTTTGTATTTTAGCCTTCATGAATTGCAGTATTCATCCAAAAATCTTTGATAGAAGTTTTTGCTCTGAATAGAAACAATTGTTATCTTATTTTAACCTTTTCTACTAGGTACCCGATTTTGAATCATCTGCAGGTTGAATGTGCACTTGTGTTTTATGATTTTCAATACTTTTTATTAAAGTGGAAAGAATTATGAATAGAAACAATTGTTATCTTATTTTAACCTTTTCTACTAGGTACCCGATTTTGAATCATCTGCAGGTTGAATGTGCACTGGTGTTTTATGATTTTCAATACTTTTTATTAAAGTGGAAAGAATTGAAAGTTTTGTTATTTTCAATTAAAAAATCCCCAGTTTTCCCTTGATTATATAGAAAAATTTTTGGTTTTTGTTGAAAAACTTTTTATACTATTGATGTTTTCAAATAAACCAAAAATAAAAATACAGAAACATGCGCATCCAAACCCTTTGAAAAAATGGAAGTTTGGTTGGATAGAATGCATTTTTGAGGGTAAAACTCAGAAAATGTAATTGCTGCCTGACCTCACAAGCAAATTGCTATATGAGGGGTTTGAATGGGAGTGATATTTTTGCGCTGATGGGGCCCTGGGGGTGTCAATTCTATCTGGCACTCTATTCAAGCTGCACTTTACTGTTGAAAATGAACGTGCATGTTCAAAATGTGCAATCCGTAGTTTTGAAATTGAAATCCTGTTTTCTACAACTTTTCCAGCAGACTCCATCCATTTAAGCTTCATTGCGCACTTTCTGGAGGGAAATGGTCCCTTGAAAAAAATTATGAAAACCCGTTTTCGCATGCTTTTTTCATTGGCAGTATAATCCCTTCAGACCAAAAGTTATTGAAATCTATTTTCAATTTTTTGATTAAAAAATGTCTAGATGAATTCAGGTTTTGTGTACTGTATATGTGTCGTATTTTAGCCGCATTATTCGCATCATTTTCTGTTGCAAAATCTTTTGCTCAACACTGAGCTTTTTATTTTCAACTCTGAACATGTATTTGGAACTGCTCTTTTATAGAAGACTACCGTGAACAGAATTTTCTGCAATAAGCAATACTTTGCCTCCATTTTTCTCAGTACAGTATTTCCACAAGAGTAAATTTTTGTTGAAGTACAAAGAAATTACAATTTGAAGAACCGCAGATGTAATTTCTTCCTTTTACACTATATACCGAAATGGAACTGTGTAATATGATGATCCCCAGACACATGATGAATTTCTTCCAAATATTTTTCTGGCTTGGATTGTCGAGAAAATTTTAGCAAAAAGTCGGCCTTTGTTCATGAATAATAATTTAAGTACAACCGAGTTTTCGAGTTCAGACATTCTTGTCTATCGGATAATCAAACACTTTTCTTTTTGATTGAAGCAATTTTTTCTGAAATTTTGCAGTGAAGAACTTCGAAATAAATAACTCAAGGATAAGGGCTCAAGTTTTTCTAGTTTAGATTGAATGAATGCAAGATAAGCTCTTTCTTGGGCTCAAGTTCACTGTTGCAAGGGTGATGTAAAAAAACACGCGCAGGCAGTATACTGAAACCCACTCGTTGTCAGGAAATGATCAAAAGACAACTCTGCAGGAAACCTTTGGAAATAATTGTCGACATACCGATATAACCAATCGTTCAAAATTATCAAGGATTCAGCATTAACGTGTAGAAAAGCTGAATTGCATTTCGCCCGATATTGCACGCACATCAAAACTTTCCTCAGTTCCGCCTTTTTTCAAAATTCCCAAAAAGGAATACGTTTTTACTTCAAGATTTCGCAATGACTTCTCGCTTCCGCTCTCGAGATTCCAAAACGCCGTAACAAACCATACCGAGCGTGAGAATGAACACGAGTGCGTACAACTTTATACGGACGCACAAATGCTTGCTGAAAAAATACGCGAATGATGAATTTCTTCCAAATATTTTTCTGGCTTGGATTGTCGAGAAAATTTTAGCAAAAAGTCGGCCTTTGTTCATGAATAATAATTTAAGTACAACCGAGTTTTCGAGTTCAGACATTCTTGTCTATTGGATAATCAAACACTTTTCTTTTTGATTGAAGCAATTTTCTCTGAAATTTTGCAGTAAAGAACTTCGAAATAAATAACTCAAGGATAAGTGCTCCAGTTTTTCTAGTTTAGGATTGAATGAATGCAAGATAAGCCCTTTATTGGGCTCAAGTTCACTGCTGCAAGGGTGATAGAAAATCACGTACATGCACTACTGAAACCCACTCATTGTCAGGAAATGATCAAAAGACAACTCTCATATAAATTAACGAATTAACTTATAACATGTTATAAATTAACTTTTAAGTTAATTATAAGTTAATTTATAACTTACTAACATTTGCAGGAAGCCTTCGCAAATAATCATCAACAGACCCATAATTACCAATCGTTCGAACTTACCAAGAAGTAAGCATTATTAATATGCGTGGAAAAGCTGAATTGCATTTCGTCCGGGAGCATACGCACTTAGGAATTTTCCCCGATTCCGCCGGATTTTTTCAAAATTCTTAGAAGAAAAACCTTGCACTTCAAGATTTTCGTTACTGAAGAGCGAAGGCGAGAGCTCTAAGGTTTTGCGGCATTGTTTGGTATGGCTCGCACTCTTACTTGTGCTCACGCATGTTGAAATATGCCTGCGTGTTTACGAACGACTTTTTTATGCGCTTGATGAACCCAAGACTCTCGAACACTTTGTACGCACTAAATGCTGCTTCCACGTTTTCATGAAAAAGCAATCCGTGGAGCCCTGCAATGAAGGTAATCTAATTCAGTGACTAGGATAAATTATGACACGACAATAAAATACAACGAAAATGAACGCTTGACTATATGAAGTGATATGAACCATACTAATACAGTACAGTATTTGGAAAGCTTCGATGGATTTTTAAACGGCAACATTTCAAAGCTTGTGAACTTCAGGGTAAGAGAGCTTACTTCGGGCTCGGCAAAGAAAGCCAGTTAAACTCCTCTTGAGTGAGCAAATAATTCATCGATGCTTCCTGCATTTGCTAAATACTATAGCTATCAAAAATACAGCCTGCAGAAAGAATCCGCTGAACGTCAAAATATTTGAACTTATGATTCATATACTCAAGCATGTATCGGACTTCTCTGAAATCGAAGCGACCAAGAAAGAATTTGACTTCGAGAGGTTTCAACAATAAGTTGGGCAGATTTGGTAATTAGGACTCGAAACAAATTTGAGTTATGGAGGTTTCGAAATAAAGAGGACTGCTGTACGGATTATTGAACGCGAGATCTCACCATTGATCTGTGTCTGCCACACAGAATCAGCGAGCATGTAAGCTCCTGACATGATGAACAGTACGTAGTGTTCGTCCATGGTGGGTTCCCAAATCAGAAGATACGCCAGTGTCGCAACATTCAACAAAAATGCAGCAAGGAACACCGGGATTCTACCCGTGTATTCCACGATCAATCCGGAAAACCCGGACCCGAAAGCATTCATCGCTTTCCCGACCATGAACACGTATCCAATATTTTCGATCCCCCAAGTGCATCCCACGTAAGCCTGGAAATCATGAACATCCTTCAGTTAAAATTGTTTCGCCCCATTCTTCACTTATCAATCAACCCTGGTGAAATCCACTTCGAAAAAGCCTTGCTCCAGCCCTCCATAGAATACGAGAACCAAGATCAACGCCTGGTTTACGTTTCTGAGCTGTGTGAACGTAGCGAACAGGAGCTGGAGATCACAACTTCGTTTCCGTTCGGCAACTTGCTGGAATCTATACTACGCACACATCCTAATCAGAACAATTCAGAAAATACAGCTCGATGTTCACACTTTACCGTGATAGTGGATCCAGGAGGAGGGCGATGAAAATACCAGAGGAGAACGCGGTTGTTGCGAATAACCCGGATAGGAGATGAATTTTCCATTCAACAGGTCTCCTCAAAGTTTCCACTTCACCGATCAAGTCATCGCAGAAATTTTTCCCACAAAAACTAACGTCGGTTGAATTTCTCTCGGTTACGCCGTATGAAAGGACTGGAGGAGAGAATGTCCAGGATGACAAAGATTATTCGAGGCTACAGGAAATCCAAAATGGAGGAAGGATAACCCTTTGTCCAAAAAGAAAACCCTCTCCTTCAGAGCAAAAAATGCAGGAGCAATTATGATATCCTACCCTACACTTGGGTACGCATCGATTTTTCCTCCTCCATCTTTACCATCCGTGCAATCATCATCTGAAGATGAACAGTGTTGATAAGATGAGAAGCTGGCGGTGGAAGAAATGATGTCGTCCCAAAGACTATAATAACTGAAGTAGTGAATAAGTTCCAGCACGCACTCCGGCATCACATCTCGACAACAAATGCCAAAAATACTTTAAAAAGGGTTTCTGAGAACTTAGGAAGATATGCTCTATACCTGAGGAGGTGATGAGGTTTCCCCAGATCCCAGCCGACTGAAACGTGGCGAAAAATACCCCGAAGAAAAGCATGACCGTGGAACGTTCCGAGGATTCTAGGGTTCCCGGTTGTTGCAGAGCACACAGCTCTGAGTACCGCTTCCCAACCAAAGATATGTACGAGCATTTCGCTGACCACAATGGAGCTGCAGCCAACCCGACCAAGAGCCCCGTAGGTAGCAAAGTATAAAATCTCGGATGAAACTGCGCGGCTATGAACGTCGTGTAACACAGGTTGCAAAACACGATAGTCCATTTCGCGGTCAACTTGCAGATAATCGAAGTGACGAGGAACAACGACGACACAACCAGTCCGACGTAAATGGCGGTTAGCGAATAGGTACCCAAGCCCTGGTCAGGATTAATGGAGCTTTGCAGTGCGTTAACGCTCGAGGAAGACATGAAGAGGAGCAAGAAACCCAAGCTGAGAACAACAACGTTCTTCCATATGCGGATCTTTTCGCGACGAATTTGCGTTGGGGAAAGCACCCCGACCTGCTCCATGGCGCCGACTAAAAATTAGAATAAATTGACTAACGTGTTAACTTCCTTTGCGGTGGAATCATGAAGTTCATCAAATTACAGGTGGAGTCTCTCCCCGTGTTCAAGAGATTTTCCTGTAAAACGGATTTTCTCTGGTCCCTATATGAGAGAGTCCACCTGTAATCCATACGGCAGTGAACGAACGAGCCGTACAGTGGTGAGTTATGTGACACAGGGCTTGAATCAAAATTAACGCGGAAGGCTCTGCTGCTCGTCGGATCTTCACTCACGAAAGGAAGCAAGATTTCGTCGAAGCATCTCCAAGATGAACTCCACACTTCGTATCACGGAAATCGAAAAACAAGAAATATTCCACGAAATCGAAAATGGACACCGACGGAAGTACCCAGCCACTCCAGTAATCAGACTTTTCCTCCACTGTTCCTGATTAGAAATAACATGTTTAATGGCTGGACCTCAATCCGACTTTTTCACATTTTCCCCGACCACCGCCACATAATAAAAAAAAATTCATTCGAACACCGGACAAAGCATTGAAAAATTCTCCCAGCAATGCTCAAGAACTTCTTGTATTTCTGAAATTGTCGAAAACAGCACAAAATTACACGGATGTACACTTCACCAGAGCATCAGTTTTCGCAGCGGACATGTTTTACAATGTACACACTATAACCGACTGAGTCATTTCGCAGGCACTTTCGAACAAGACCACTCACACCAGTAACTTGTAAATCAATGGTACATTACTGTGCAACAAACGCAATCATTACTTACAGAACAACTTGGATTCGAAAAACGTCGTCAACGGGATTTTGTACCGTGGTGCAACGTATTGCATTTGATTTGTAACTGAGTCGCATGGTGGACTCGAATTCCTTGCACAAAAATTCGGTGCAAAACGTCCATTTTCTTTTCAGATTTCCAGGTCAAGATGCACAAGACTTCGAATTACAAATAATTTCTGAGACGTTAGAGTTTATCCAACTGATGAAGCATGAGTTCAATCACCCAACTTATTCTTCGATTATGAAGAAATAATTCAAGAAACGAAGTATCAAACTATAGCGAGGAAATCGTTTCAACTTTCAAGGTTGAAAAACACAGGTGCTCGTTAACATACGTGAGAACGGATGGTCGGATGGAGTCACACATTGGATTTCACGCCCGAGGCCAAATCCGTCGATTGAAGATGGTCAAAATTGTCTCGAAAACTGAAAATTCACACTGTGACGCCCAGGTCGGAACATGCTTGAGCCATTCGGGATAAAATCTTGTGATGAACGTAGGGGAGAATTCCATCTTCTTTCGGTACTCGATGTTGTAAGTTAGATGAAAGTGGCCCTGTTCCAACTCATAAATGAGTGAAGCTTGTTTCAAAGCACTTTCTGGGCCGAAGCATTTCCGCAGCGTTTCCACGAAGCTTTTTAGTTCAGACACGGCATTTTTGCTTCCATTAAACTGCTTGTTCAACACCAATATAACATTCTTGAGTCCCTTGAACGTCCTCAAGGCTTGGAGTATCTCATTCACGTCCTGTGATTGAATTAAAAAATAATAATCACGACAAATACATGCAAAACAGAAGGGAATAGACGGAATGATTTCTTTACAAAAAAAAAAAAAAAAAATCGTGAGCTACACTCGTGCAGTTTCTATTACACTTTATTGAGATTCCCGCATGTACTTCGTATAATTTTACAGCACACTATAGAGGCACCAGCAACCTCTTAGTCGCATGACAGAAACATGTAATCATGTTTCCTGCATTATCATCCTCTCACACACAAGCTAGAATGGAAGCTTAATATGTGGAGCTAGGTGTCTAGGAGGTCGCTTAAGACGTGGACTCAGTATGTTTCGTTACGTCTGTCCCGTGCCGTCCCAAACCATGGTCCTTTACGTTACTTGAGGTTTGGTTGAGACAATTTGCGAAGAGTATCAAAATGGAGATCATTGGGTAAGGTGAGAATCAATCCTCTGAGCTTGGAACAACATTGTAGTTCTTCAAAAACGCTTCCTGGGTGTTTATTGGAAGCTTTGTCTTTGAAAAATAATCCCACGCATTCCAGGTTGATTGTCTTTGAATACGGAATTGAAGTATCCCACAGGTCAACAGCAATGCATTTCAGATTCGAAAGCCATTCCTCTGAGCAGCGATTGAAAGCACGAAACGCTCGTAGTTCTCGTTGGGAATGTCCAGCAAATGATGTTCTGTGAACATTCCTAATCCATATCTTTTCCAATGATGGCATCAGCAGTAGATGACGAACGAGTTTCACGGGTGAAGCTTCTTCCAGCCATAATGATTTCATCTGCAAATTTTTTACAGGACGCAAAACAGATTTTGATTCACGGGATCAAGATTCTATAGCATGTGATACTGTCTAATTTTTTGGAACATAATTTCTATAATACGGGTGAACCTGGATAACTCGAACCTCTTGAAGTCGAATTTTTTTCAGGTCCTGTCTAAATCCCCTTAAAACTAGTGCATTTAAAACCTCCCTAAGTCGAAGGCTTATCCCCTAATACCTCCATAAGTCGATTTTTTGTGGCCTGTTGGCTTTTATTTTCTTGACACAAGCAAGAAAAAAAGATTTAAAACATAAATTGATTTGTTTTTAAAGGAGATGAGATACTTAATTGGGCAAATAAACCCTGCCTCCAAGATCAGGATGCTTTCAACTCAATGAAGAAGTAATTTCAGCCTCAGCATATTACAATTTTTCTATGTTTCCCAGGACATAGAGAAGGGCTATGTCCTTAGACTTCATAGAAGGGCTTTGTGTTGTAGCTTAATTCAAAACATCACTAAGTCGCATTTTTTTGTTGGTCCCTTGAAGTTCGACTTGGAGAGGTTTGACTGTACTTGAAATTTATAATTCATGAATCTAGTAAAGGTACAGCCAACATTTATTGGCTTTCAAAGATACTCACAGATCGAGAAATAGAAAAACTTTCAATAAGCCTAATTAATCAAAAGAGGAAAATGGGTTCAAAATCTTCACGGCATCAATTCGATCATCAAGCATAAAAAATACTTCATAGAACGCGCATGAAACAGTTTTCATGTCAAATGTAGCCAATGCGGAAGACTGGAATTTGATAACTTCGTTACACAGTATCATTGATCAAGGATGACAGAAAATTCTTTCCAAACTCTTAAAACGACGAAATGCTCAGAATCACCTTTGGAAAAAATGTATTTCCATTACGAACAGCTGGGATGTGACGGAAAAGATATCCATTCAAGCTCAGAGATTCAAGATTTTCAAAAATCCCCATATCTTGAGCCTCTTCCCAATAATCCTCTTCATCCAATTTCACTGGCAACATGTAGGCATGCAAACTTGAAAGCAAACCAGAACCAATTAAGTCAGGAAACCCAGGAACAAAAGGATGTGAAACAAGTGGTCGTCCCTCATTGGAGGCTGAAATCAATTCACCTTGTATCAAAGCGTGATAGAGATTCAGTTTCTTCATCCTGCAAGAGTGAAAACAGCACGAAAATTAGCGCATGCTGAATCAATGAATAAAAAATCGTTTCCGCAGCTAGAATAATACTTACCTGGGAAAACACGGTGTCAAGTCCACAAATGTAAAATACATTAGTTCCATTTCACACCACAGAGTGACTTCTCGACAATTGGGAAGTATCAACTTGGCAAATCTCGTCGTCATCAGTAGCGAGTTCCCCAGGACTAGATCACGCACTGTCAGCGTCTTCAACTGCATCAGCGATTTTCCACTTCTGAACATAAATTCGACCCACACATCTTTGTTGGACTCCAAAGAGGCAATATCCAACACTTCCAGTTTTCGCCAACTGAAGTGTTTGAAAAACGATCGCAACATATCCAGCGGCGGAATTGTTTGAAACTTCGAGTCCACTTTGAAGTCCACTGATACCTTCCGAACATACCTATACAGTATGTACATAAGTCATCACAATATGAATCAAGAAAATAACTGAAGCGCATGCGGTAACTTCATGAGTACTTAGCACACAGAATTTCTGATCCTAGATGGAGTTTTCATTTAATTTGATCAAAATTATTTTCTTGCGCACCCAAAATTTTCATAAGGTACAGTATAGTTTATTACAGAAATCAAACTCAATGATACTTGCGCCATTTCAAACGAAGTACTGCGCATAACTTCAACGAATTTGTTACATTTAATTTTTAATAACACACTAGGCCTTCTCTGCAGAACAGACGTTATTTGTCCCCACTGGCGTCTCTCCACATTTTACTGTACAGGGGTTCTCTACAACGAAATTCTATCTTGAACAATATTTTCTGGAACCATGAAATTCGCAGTTTCCTCTCAGGTTGCTTTCAGCCCCCTGGTCCTTTTTAAATAGCACCTCTTAGGGAGTACCCTAACCAACTCTTGGTGATGCCCTGTGTGTTTTTAGCCAAATGTGTCTTATGAGAGCACCTGTTTTTTGTTGCAGAGACTCTGCCTATATACACTCATAGATGGACGCGTATTGAAATGGTTCAATAAGAACTGAACACGAATTAAAAATCCAGATTAATGAAGGCAACGTTGAACTCACCCAGAAACGACTTTGGTCTTCAGCTCGTACACAGGTTTACCTTGTGAACACTGGGGTTTCTCTTGTGCCTTAAGCTCTACACAGGTTTAAGAAGGCAAGGAGTACCAGTATTTTTTGAGGGCTGTTTGACCCTGTTGTAAGCTCATCGCTTCAAATGGAGTCAAATACTTCATGATATTTTCGAGAACGCGTCTAGGACACGAAAGGAGAGGCGAATGCTGATGGGATCGCTCTTCGTTGTGACGCTCATCACTCAGGAAGAACATGATCCGGAAGCAAGCTGCAACACGATATCAGGGAGTGACTCAATCATTCATCGCCAGTTAGGAAATAAATCAAAGCTATCATAAGGATCATTACTCTGAAACGTTAGAGCATGTCCGCAGCAGTTAGTATCATAGCGTTCAAACGTTCACCCATGAGCACTGTTGGAATTCGCTCATCAATAATCTCTAGTAAAGAATTCCAAGAAATCAATTTAGTCTTTTTCCACTGAGCAGATGCGTTATGCTTAATTGATTGATACCAATCAATCAAATGCATGGGTAGTTCTAGCACACGACGCTTCGAAAAAAGCAGTTCCTATCTATGCATTAGGATCCTGCAGTTTAAGGAAGAAACTCGTTCGCGATGCACTGCCATACATTAGATCATTATCCTTCATTCACAGAAAAAGATATCTAGATGGACGCAAAGTTGGAAGATTTCCAGAACTCTTTTCCCAATTCTTCAGGAAGTGGAGGTTACGGAATGCAAAGGTCATCGGTGAACACAATAAGCCGCTCAAATCGGGAGCAAAATTGAAGGTAATCCTCAGCGAATGAAGACAAATCGTCCTGTGAGTCATGCACTTCACTCAAAGAATAAATAGAGTTCAGTAAGGATGCTTCAATACTTGAAAAACTTGATTCCAAGGAATATTTTTGATGAATCAACCCGCTCAGAATAATCACAAAAAGACTCACGAATTGTAGGGAACATGCCCTCGATGACGTCTCCATGCTTTAAAACACACACGGGTTTCACATCAACATGCAGAACATCACCATTGATGCATATCAAGAAGTTGAAGCGATGTTCCAGCGTTGGAACCGGGGTTAGTACGAATGATCCACTTGGATCCTCTTCAATGGAGAAGATTTTCTCCAAGCTAAGTTGCTTCGTACAGGTTGTTCCAAGTTTTGCCCCATTCAACTGTTTGTGGATATCTAAAAACAAGGAACGTCCGAATAAAACGAAAAATAAAAAATGGAAGCTGAATAAAAGTGACTTACGCAGCCGAAACCGCGTTCTCGCATTAATTCCCTCCCTTTGCGAGCGTTCAAAATAACATGCGACGGTTATCCTCGGATTCTTCTCGTATCCGTTTGAACACCCGTCAATTCGACCACTTCGCTCCAATTCCATGTATCGGAGATCGCTAAGACCATAATCGAGTCTCACCAGAAACGCGCTCATTATGAAAACGATAAGTTCTGCGACCTTATTTCAGATAACCTCTCAGTAAATCGGAACCTGCATTGAAGTTCACATGTAAACCATTAGACAAATATACCGCGGCTTCTTGACTAAATATGGCCATACAGGATGCACTTTTTCAAAGTGATGGTCTTCCTAAACGATGATGCCGCCTAATATAAAAAGAAATATTTGTGTATATGCCCGTCCTTCGATGAATGCGGACTAAGCATTCATGGAAGGCAAAACTGAAACTTCAACTTCAAACTGAGGTTGAAGCATTGCGCGAGAATAATCCAACGCAAAAGCATTCAAGAGTAAATACTGCACCTTTGAAGCTTACACGCCGAATTCATAACCTGTTATTATTCATACTATATATTGAATTGAAGTACTGCATAGTTCTCAAATATTTTCCTTTCCGTGAGATGCATGCTTCTGAAATGAATTGTCATAATGGCTGAACGTTATCCATTCCCAAAATACGTAACCTCAATTGTGCTCAACTCACGAGAGTCCTTTCGCAGCAGGCCACTGACACGGAAAACTATAATTGTTTTACAGCAGTATTACTTCACACTACTCAGTAGCGTCTCAAAATCACGCACAATCACCTTCGAAATGTTCGCGTCACGTACAGGGATGAATTTATCCAACGAAGAGCAGCAGGCGGTCACACGCAGTTCGTAAGGAAGGGCTCGCGCGGGCGAAAAACGGGAGGTTTAAAAAAAACCGCCACCAGCTTACAGATTTACTTCAAACGTGCAGAAAAACGAAGAATCGGAGATCCGATTGCACCATAAAAAGAATACGCACTCAACCGATGAAGCCTTTCGACAAGGCGCACCGGGAACAGGAAAACGTTACGGATCACTCGACTGTTATACAGCATGCTCATACGCGGCGTCAGCTAAGAGAGGGTGGCCATTTTGTTTTCGCAGGCGGCATGATCGACGCGACCAGTCGGGCTCCCTGGGGGGAAATTTATGAGGGCGAGGGCGGAAGTGTAGATGTACGAGTGTAAATGAGTCGCACTACCGTACCGCATTCATTGACTTCGCGCATATCACCCATAAAATAAAACGTTCTCCCTTCCACGCGTCTCCGCCATTCTCTTAGCCCGGCTGAAGTGTGCCGGAAGTGATCGGCCATCAGTGAACTTTTGTTGCCGTATAGAGACTATAGACTATGTAGGGAGGGTTGACGCAGTTCATCTGCTTCCCGAGGATCAACTACAGTATCCTGTGAACTCGACCACTTCCGTAACACTTTTACTCAGAAGGAATATTCGGACACAACATTCAAGACAAATATTCCAGCACAAACGGTACTCATATGCCTAATTAGGCCAACCCTCGAGACTTGAGATTTGCGCTGACTTCATGATTTAAACGACGGTATATGAGCAACTTCTTGAATATTGAACTGTATAAAATTGTGGTAGAGTAGAATCGAATACAGTACTGTACAGAACTTTCATTATAATTCTCTACCCAATGGCCCACTTCAAGGCAGAAAAGGTATTCGCGATTCTGAGTATTGCTGAAAAGTTCAGAACAACCATAAAACCGGTTTAAATTTGAATACCAATTCTTCCTTGCCGCGCATATTTTCCCTGTGTGCGGCTAGTATACTCAACTAAATATACATTGGAGGACGTTCACACAACCTTACTCCGCGACTGCCTCTCTAACTGGTCTGCCTGTCAATTGACACCAGCAGTACAGTACCGTGTACTGTAGTTTCGCCATTCATACCATCGCAAACACTGCATCACTAATTTCACAACTTTCTCTCGACCGCAAGATTAACCTGAAAATGAGGAACGCAAGACTTAAGAACACTGCGCATCTGTAATAGAAAATACTCGTGGATGTTGGAGAAAACTCTTCATATGCATTTCTTGCCGAAAAAACAACATGTATTCATCATGAACTCCTGTTTCACTGCGATAATTTCGAAAATATCAACATGGTTAATGCACACAAAGTCTTCAAAGCAACTCATCGCAAAATTTTAGAAAATGAAGTCGAGGAAATTAATCTAAAGAAAGTAGTGCGAGGCATTGGGATTGATCAATGATAGAATGGCGCTCGACAGAAGATGGATAAAATTCCCTCGAATACCCCAAGGTCACCCTGCGCTAACCTGGTGGGCACATGCTGGAACCATCCTGTATAAAATTTAGTCAAAAACGAGTACGAGAACAATGCGGTCCTTCGCAGTTCAGTGCTGTAGGTAAGCTGATAGTGACCGTATCCTTCCTGCAACTCACGAATGATCGTCGCTTGCTTCAAGCTACTCTCCGGGCCGAAGTATTTTTCGATTATTGTCAGAAAGCAGCTCTGATCAGCCAGGTAATCTCCGCCCCCCATCATTGGCTTGCACAAAACCAACACCAAATTCTTGAGTCGCTTGAACGTCCTCACGGCTCGAAGAATCTGCTTCACTTCCTGCGAATGAGTCGAGGAGCAAAAAAGGAGACTGGATGAGACGGAAAGTTCCAAAAAATACAGCGGAAACCCCGACCTCCACAGCATTACAAATTCCAAGTACTGCACTTATCTTACGAACAAAACAAAAAACCTCACATTTGCAAATGGTTATGCACTCTAGATGCAAATGGTGTAAGTTTCATAATTTTTTCAACGTTCGAATCTGCGGAAATACCTCGCAAAGGCAAAGCTT